GAAATTTACTATGCATTATTTGTTGATTTCCGAAATGAGTGGTTTCTATCAAAAGAAAATATTTAATTAATATGATGATTAATTAAGAAAATGTATGTCATAAAAGGTTTAATAGAGAATTTGATCATGTTTTTATCATGCTTTGAAATGGAAATGCAAATTTGGCATTTGATATAGCAATAGAGCTTTGGGTGCATGTTATAAACTTTTATAAAGTCGAAATCTGTTGGAATTTATTCTTTGTTTTGTTTGGCTTTGTCGACTTGTTGGTCGACTAGAGTAAAGTTGACAAAGAAGTTGTCGTTCATTGATATGTCTGACTCTTTGGGTATGTCAACTTGTTCCTCGATAGAATTAAAGTTAACAGAAAAGTCAACCATCCGTTAAAGTGTTTGGCTGTTTGGCCTCGTCGACTTAGTCGTCGCCTGGATAAAGTCGATAGAAAAGTCAACGACCGAAACCTAAGAAAATCAAAATAAAATAAAATAAATTCTTATGTGCAGAATTTTTGTGAGTGCATCACATATTAATTATTTGATTTTGGGTTAATCAAATAAAGAACTTTGTTCCCAATAATGCACTAATTTCGAGTATTTGTGTTTGTTACATGGAATATTTAATTGCATAAATGAATTTGCAATTTATATGATAATTTCATGCGATACATAGTATGATAATAGTGATATAGTTATGAATTTATATCATATGTGTTAATATATGATTTGAAATTCATGTCTTACTATATGTTTGAGTTGTTTATATCAATACTTTAAACTTTCCATGAGATCTCAAAGAAAAAAAAAAGAGATTATATGATTAGAAACTTGGAACTCTTTATATATAATAAAAGAGTTTGAAGAGAATGAAAAATTCTCTATTAAATTTAAAAAGGAGAATGATCCTTGACCTAAGTCCATATTGTGGAAAATGGACAAAGCATCAAGTCCATGTTCGAAATCATATCAACTAAAATAACAATGAATCAGGTATTAGGAAAGCTACCAGATTGTAACAAAGAATGACACTAAGAGCTTAAGTATAAATGTTTGTAACAAGAGAAATGGAGCCAATTTTTCCAGGAATATGAAGAAAGAAATCGTGACATGGTGATTTCAAAACTTCATACTAGGGAATATGATTTCATTGTTGGGTTGATTGCGATGTTTGATAGAACATATTGGATCTTCAAGTTCCTAAGTATGATCATATTAATTAAGAGTTTCGATGCAATATTATTTAAATTGTGATAACAAGATGAGTTAATGAACTAAGGTTAAGAATTAAAATTTTTAACAAGATTTGAGTTAAAATTTGAGTTAACAAACTCATAAGTAAGGACTAACTATTGAAAGACATTTGGTCTAAAGACTGAATGACTTAAAAGGATATGTGTAAAGTCCAGAAATGATTACTTGCATTGGAATGTCTAATTCAACGCTAGTAAATACTCTAGTCTTGAATTCAATGAGTGATAGTACAATGTATAAGTAATTGAGCACAACAATATTTATCCCAAAGTAGTTAGTGCTGTATATTTTTCGCTGGGTATCAGGTTTAGAATTAACTCTTAACAAACTCTTGTAAATGCTAAAATGGCGGGAGCATTAAGAAGTTTGCCTAGATGAATGTCGGACTGGGCATCCACAAAGCTTGGGACTTGGCTTTGTTAACATTCATGAAGAGATATGGGTACAAGACCTTACGTACCATACACACTGGTAAGGTGCAGACAAGTTGAGGAGAAAGAAACCTATGTGTGTTGACAATAGTGGCTTGTAACATGTACGCACGGTTCAAATCTAGTCTACCGGGTTATACTACAAGTTATGAAGCCGACACTAAGATAATGGTTCTTGTCTAACAACACTATTATTTTATACATGAGTTTTGCTGGAATTATCCTGGATCTATTTAAAAATCATTTTCAATATATTGAAAATGGCGGGGGATTGTTGGAGTTATTTTCAATATATTGTAGGGACACAATTAATATGTTGTGCCTATTGGGTGTTTTCAATATATTGTAGAGACACAACTAATAGGTTGTGCCTATGGACTCCATATGAAAAGAGATTAACGAAAAGTTATGTCTAGGACCATAACCAAGGGTTACGTCTAATCCTCAACAGTTTCCTCCAACTCTATAAATATGGATCATTTGGATACTTTTAGTGTACAATTAAATCACGAAATACTTGGAATATTTCCAATGACATTTCTTATCCTTGTATCAGGTTGTTGGTTCACTAAAGTACAGAGTGAAACAACATGATCTCCATTTATCTCATAGAGAATTCACCTAGATAATTGCACTATATAGTCGGCGAATTTAGCCTAAAGGAAAGCAAGTTTACTTGTGACTTGGAGACAAAACTTTCTTTTGTCCTAACCATAAATTCTTCCTCTTTTTCTTTGATCTAGTGCAGCCATTGTTGTCCATTATTCTTGAAGTAGAATTCCAACAATCTTTAGGCTGAATTTTCCTGTTAAACAGTGTCTAGTACTTGAAGAATAAGCAAGGATATATTCATTGCACACGAAAATGGTAGAAATGTTGTAGATCATTGGATTTAATGGAAAGAGCAATGATAGGATACAATGGATCTCGTCATCAAAATAAGAATTATATTTTACTTGTTAATTGTGACATTCCAAGTTCAAGGTTTGTATATATTTCATAAATACATGAACATAGTGATAAGATCTATGTCTGAGTAGAACATGGTTGTAGAATTCATGAACTTTTGCATGTAAAAGAAATTTACTAGCATTATTTTTTGATTGCCAAAATGTGTGGTTTCTATCAAAATAAAATATTTAATTAATGTGATGATTAATTAAGAAAATGTATGTCATAAAAGGTTTGATAGAGAATTTGGTCATGTTTTTATCGTGCTTTGAAATGGAAATGCAAAATTGGCATTTGATTGAGCAATAGTGCTTTGAGTGCATGTTATAAATTTTTATAAAGTCGAAATCTGTTAGAATTTATTCTGTGTTTTGTTTGGCTTTTTCGACTTGTTGGTCGACTAGAGTAAAGCTTACATAGAAGTTGTCATTCGTTGATATGTCAGACTATTTGGCTTTGTCGACTTGTTCGTCCATAGAATTAAAGTAGATAGAAAAGTCAACCATCCGTTATAGTGTTTGGCTGTTTGGCCTCGTCGACTTAGTCGTCGCCTGATAAAGTCGATAGAAAAGTTAAGGAACGAAACCTAAGAAAATCAAAATAAAGTAAAATAAATTCTTTTGTGCAGAATTTTTGTGAGTGTATCACATATTAATTATTTGATTTTGGGTTAATCGAATAAAGAACTTTGTTCCCAATAAAGTGCTTATTTCGTTTATTTGTGTTTGTTACATGGAATATTTAATTGCATAAATGAATTTGCAATTTATATGATAATTTAATACGATACATAGTATGACAATAGTGATATAGCTATGAATGTATATCATATGTGTTAATATATGATTTGAAATTCCTGTCTTACTATATGTTTGAGTTGTTTATATCAATACTTTAAACTTTCCATGAGATCTCAAAGAAAAAAAAAGGAGATTATATGTTTAGAAACTTGGAACTCTTTATGTATAATAAAGAGTTTGAAGAGAATGAAAAATTCTCTATTACAGTTAAAAAGGAGAATGATCCTTGACCTAAGTCCACATTGTGGAAAATGGACAAAGCATCAAGTCCATGTTCGAAATCATATCAACAAAAATAACAATGAATAAGGTATTAGTAAAGCTACCATATTGTAACAAAGAATGATACTAAGAGCTTAAGAGTAAAATGTTTTTAACAAGAGAAATGGAGCAAATTTTTCTAAGAATCTGAAGAAAGAAATCGTGACATGGTGATTTCAAAACTTCATATTAGGGAAGATGATTTCATTGTTGGGTTGATTACGAATTTTGAAAGAACAGACTGGATCTTCAATTTCCTAAATACTCTTGTAAATACTCTAGTCTTGAATTCAATGAGCGATAGTAAATTGTATAAGTAATTGAGCACTACAATATTTATCCCAAAGTAGTTAGTGCTGTATATTTTCCGCTGGGTATCAGGTTTAGAATTAACTCTTAACAAACTCTTGTAAATGCTAAAATGGCAGGAGCATTAAGAAGTTTGCCTAGATGAATGTCGGACTGGGCATCCACAAAGCTTGGGACTTGGCTTTGTTAACATTCATGAAGAGATATGGGTATAAGACCTTACGTACCATACGCACTGGTAAGGAGCAGGCAAGTTGAGGAGAAAAAAACCTATGTGTGTTGACAATAGTGGCTTGTAAAATGTACGCATGGTTCAAAGCTAGTCTACCGGGTTGTACTACAAGTTATTAAACTGACACTAAGGTAGTGGTTAAAGTCTAACAACACCATTATTGTATGCATGGTTTTTCCTGGAATTATTCTGGATCCATTTAAAAATTATTTTCAATATATTGAAAATGGCGGGGGATTGTTGGAGTTATTTTCAATATATTGTAGGGACACAATTAATATGTTGTGCCTATATGATGTTTTCAATATATTTTAGAGACACAACTAATAGGTTGTACCTATGGACTTCATATGAAAAGACATTGACAAAAAGTTATGTCTATGACCATAACCAAGGGTTAAGTTTTATCCTCAAGAGTTTCCTCTAACTCTATAAATATGTATCATTAGGATGCTTTTAGTGTACAATGAAATCACCAAATACTTGGAATATTTCCAATGATATTTCTTATCTTTGTATCAGCTTGTTGGTTCACTAAAGTACACAGTGAAACAACATGATCTCCAGTTTATCTCATAGGGAATTCGCCTAGACAATTGCGTTGTATAGTGGGCGAATTTATCTTAAAGGAAAGCAAGTTTACTTGTGACTTGGAGACAAAACTTTCTTTTGTCCTAACCATAAATCCTTTCTCTTGTTCTTTGATCTAGTGCAGCCATTGTTGTCCACTATTCTTAAAGTAGAATTCCAACATTATCTTTCTCTGCAAATGGCTAAATCACACAGAAAACGCCGCAAAAAGCCTCCCACCTTCACCACCAAGAATTCCAATATTCGGAAATCTTCACCAAGTTGCCCGCTTAAGCATCCCGCAACGTGGATTGAGAGCATTGGCTCAAATATGTGGTCCGGTGATGCGGCTCTGGCTAGGTCGAAGAGAAGTAATCGTGATCTCTTCCGCGGAGGTAGCTGAACAAATTCTCTGAACAAAGGACCTCATTTTTGCGGATAGGATTCAACAAAGCTTTGTCGGAAGACTTCTCTATGATTTTAAGGATATCGGATTTTCGCGATACGGGGAATATTGAAGGCAAATGCGACTTGTTACAGTTTCCAGGCTTCTGATGACCAAGATGTTTCAATCATTCAGAAGCCTACGTGAAGAAGAGATCATCAACATGTTGGGGAGCATTAGGGAATCTTGTTTTTCAGGTTCCACTGTACACATAAATGAGATTTTAGTGAAGTTTAGTAATAACATAATCTCTTCCACAGCCATTGGGAAGAGGTACTCAGAATTGAAAAATGGGAATCAGTTTCAGGAGTTGTTTTTGGAGTGCACAATGATTTGTGGGTATCCAAATATTACCGATTTCATCCCTTGGCTTGGATGGCTTAATCGGATCAATTGTATGGAGTCAAAGGTGAATAGGATTGCAAAAGAAGTGGATGAATACCAAGAAAGTATTGTTGAACAAGGTGTTGAAAAAATGATGAGCAGCAGCAGTATTGACGAAGCACATATTTGCACTAATGTCTCCGATTGGTATTGACGAAGCATAGATTTGCACTAACGTCTCCGATTGGTTGAACCGGCGGTCATGGCGGAGTCAAAACCCTAAAACCTGCAAAAGAGGGGCTCAGGGTCTCCCGAGGGTAGACACTCCGATATTTAAGTCAGTAAGATTAATTGTTAATAGGGTATGGATTGTGGTGCGTAGAGCGTACCTTTAACCATGAGGGGTTGATCCCTATTTATAGAGCTAGGTTATGGAACTCTTTCTTGGTAGGAAAGTAATTAGGAATTGACCTAGAAGCTTCCAGAGGCCGGTTGGACCTTTTACCGAACTTGGGCCGGCCTAGTCGCGGGCCGTACTAATTTGGACTCGTCAAGTGCCCCTCATCAAGCCTATACTTTGAAGTCTGAATATAGGGTAGGCTGGATAACATGGAGTATATAGTTCCCTCAAGTTCAGAAAAACTAACTTGAATCGAGAACCTGTGACAGGTTAGCATCGAGGAAAAATTAAAGCAATAAAAGCATTAGCGCGTACCTTTCTCGATGTGAATGTCACTTATAATGATTGACATCGAAGTTTGAGGAAGATGAAGACACTAGTCCAAACTTTTAATCGAGAAAGCATTATGTGATGGTCTTCACAATCTGCACCAGAGAAATATCGAGGTGAATGCGCCGCTTCTTGAGAGAATTATAGAAGAAGAAGTAGTGGAGATTCCCACTATTTCAGATATAATGGTGTGTTGTCAATAACTGGCAGAACAAGAGATCTGCTTGAAGATTACAATGCGCACTTCAGATCGAGAAACATTAACTCCAAATCTCGAGAATAATGAATGAGAAGCGATATCAAATAATCTCGTGAATAGAGGCAAGAGATATGCCTAAATGAGGTTGAACACATGAGTCTCGAAGATTTCGAGAAGATAAGTTCGAGAAGGAGACTTCTGTCAATGCTATGTTGATTACCAAGAGAGAAGATGTAATAAGACTGTGATTATTGACATTTGTTGTCAAAGACATAAGTTCAAGAAGAAATATAAGATGGAGCTGCATGCCAAGAACTTGGCCCAAGATAATTTGTTGTCGAGAGGGAAACGTAGCGGAGATTCCTACTAGCCTCAAGATATGCGCCATTAACAGCGCCTAAAACATGTCCACTGTCGAAATGACGTATGCTTCTGATTGAGAAGTAATAGACCCAGACCTTGAGAATAGCTACAGAGTAGTCGAAACATAAAAAATGAAGACAGAGAATACTCGATGTCGAGGACATAAGTCTGGGATTGAACCGCACCTCGAGAACTTGCCCCAATGTGACCTTCTGTTTAAGAAATCCAGATACTCGATAAGACTAGCTCGAGTGTAATATAACATCAGAGAGAAGAGACTGTCATCATATACATCCTGGTTTGTCGAGGAGAGATAGAAGAGTAGAAGACACCGTAAGAGATGTCACATGTGATACCCATAATGCAGAGATAGTGAGACTCGAGAAGATTCTCTCGAGTAGAGCTCCAGACCAAACTCAAGAACTGTAATCATCTGACCTCGAACAAGGTACACAAGCATTTAAGCTTATTTATATCTGCCCAACCAACCCGCTTGCCATTTCTCATGTCTCGAGAAATAAAGCATAGAACCCTTAGTCCGGGTTTGAGAAGTATAAATTGGGTTGATGTGTCGAACCCGAGTAGATGTATAATGTCGTTGCCCGAGATTTCGAGCAACAATCAAGGAGGTATTACACATTAGTGTGAGAAGGAACGATGCCTCAATCTGAGAATTGTCATAGAAAGAGATTCGCAGACCAATAATCATCGAAAAAAGAACAAAAACACAACATCCCAAACACCTCTAAAACACCTTACACACCTTCCAGACACCTTACACACCTTCCAGACGCCTTACAATCTCTCATATATAAGCACCCCTCGTTATAGATAACCCTGGAGCCATTACTCATCTTGGAGCCCCCAAGTCTTGGGGTGGCATTTGGCAGACCGAGACTTTAGATGAGAGTGTAATTCCCACCAATCAGTTTGAGGAGGTGCCTGATCAAGAAGCCCCCATACTCGTAGGGTTAAGGCAATAAAATGGCATCTATCAGAAGGAGATGCATGGTAACCACCTTACAGAAGGAATAAGCCTGTATTACGAGGCACACAGTAAATTCAAGAACGTGGAGAATAAAGTCATTTTGATTCTGATGTATTGGATGATATGATATATCGATCCAAGAGAGTATACTTGAGAACGAATCTAGTTCTCATTGAGGTATAAAACATATGCGTTTAGGTTCGAGGGAAAGTCCACCCATTGTTCATGAACGTGAAAATCTAGGTTTTTCTCAATACCGGATGTCGAGTACACGGCTTATGAGTTATTTGTAAAGCGCTTATAATGGCCGAATGTTAAGTACACGACTTTTTTGCAGGCGATCCTGAAGAGGATACCTTTGTACAGAAAATTCTGAAGAGAATGTCTTTTTAAGGATGATCCTGAAGAGGATATCCTCGAGGAAACTGGGTACGAGTTCCTCGAATACAAACAATTTTGAAGAGAATGTCTTTTTTAGGATGATCCTAAAGAGGATATCCTCGAGGAAACTGGGTACGAGTTCCTCGAATATAGACGATTCTGAAGAGAATGTCTTTTTAAGGATGATCCTGAAGAGGATATCCGTTCAAGTGACTAGTCATGTTTAAATGGGTGTAACTGCGTATATGAGATATAATAGCTCCTATGAGTACTCGAGTGGGCTACCACTATGTGTATTAGACTGATAATCTATATCTCGGGTTTAAAGTATGAACACTCTAAAGTCAGAGCGAGAGTTACATATCTCTGCTTATTTTGCCCCAGAATTCTCGGGGTATGCTTGTCCTACAGCTTAGTCCAAGACATGTATTGTAAGTATAATAATAATGACATGTCGACAGAAAGATAGTGAGAAGTTCATCTAATAAGCGCATAAAGGCTCTCGGACCTTGATAGTGTATAATGGGTATATATGGGCTCCTCGATCGAGGATGCGTATTCGAGGAGATCATTCTAGTGTACCTTAGTTTCGAGGAAGTATTCGTCTGAATCCTTTCATGGGAATTGTCGAGGATAGATCATTCTGATGGTGATGGCTCCCGAGCGCAGACACCATCAGAAGCCCATATGGTTCTCTGATCCTGACAAAACAACTACTCATGCACTTGTAGATTTATTAGTGAGTAATAAATTATCATAGCGCGAGAAATGATGTGGAATACAACATACTATTGAGGGACTCTGGCCCCTTGAAAAATAGCCATTTTGAGATATAAAATGTAAGAAGTGGAAAGATCTCACCGCGATACGAGCAAGACTATCGAAGCCATGGTTTGATTAGCTCGCTATATGTATGGAATAAATCCGCGGAGATCGTGCAACGCTTCTTCACGGATTTGTACTTACTATGGACCCCCAAAGAGTCATAGATATTTGTCATGGAGATGGACCATCAGATGTGAAAGTCATTGCGGCCCCAATATAGTAACTTCAAGCCAGTTGTTTGGTAGAGTAGATACAATAATCCATTGCGACTCATGGCTCGAGGATAGGAAACCATCCTGCACTATGACTTTTAGAGCATATTACTGACAATTGTAAGTACGAGAGGGGGATCTACCCCCTTTCAAAAGAAAGGAAATGAACATGAATTCGTGGAAAGTAAACAAAGCTAGATATTTATAAAAGTTGTGGTATCATGCTTCATGACTAATATGCGATGATGCAAGTAATAAGTCATGCATCTGAGAAAGAATTTTTGTGCAAACAGTTTGCATGTGAAAGTTCGAGGACACTGAAGAGGTCCAAGAAACACATATGTGTAATGTGTCATAATATGAGTGCAAGAACAATTATTTCATGCTTATGAACTATCGTAACATTCATGTTATAATGCAGATGTTCATATACTGAAGCAATTATAAGGAGATCGTATCACTTATCTGTTGGAACTTTTCGAGGGGTATCCACAGGTCAGAGTAGCAATACTCACTTGTCAATGAACTTCTCATCATTGTTGTCGGAGCTCGTTCTTGACGTGCACCGTATATTGGTCTTTTGTTTGTTCGAGGCTACTGTGGCCTGATTACAATTTCACATCATAGAGGGGCTATCTCCGTTCTCATATTTTTGCAAGTTCCGCAAAAATAGGAAGAAGTTCTTCCCAAATCTCGAGCATGCCTTTATGATGAAAGGTCTTGCATTGCTATTCTCAAGATCATACAATAAAAGCTTTTCGAGAAAGATGGAAACAATCAACATAAAGTGCTATGGTTAGAATTTAGATCGTCAATAACAATTAAACTCTACTCGAGAAAGCATAGATGGCACGATTCTATGATTACGCGTGTGAAGGCTAGGTAGTGGCTGATCATGAATGTAATGATACAAAAACCAGCAAATTCACACATTGCATGTATGGAGAATAGGTTAACGATTAACTTAGTCGATGATTTGTAGTCTATGCGAGTTGAGACATGATATCCTATGATATGCTATTTATGCAAGGAGATAATAGCCATAGAGCATGTAAATGTCAAGGAGATAATAATACTTGTCTTCCTTTTCGAGCAGGTCATTGCCCCTTGGAATGGGTTGCTTCGCAATTCGAGAAGAATGCTCCTCGAATTGTCTTATTGTAAGACCTGTAAAACTAAGTAGTATAACTGCGCCACGCTCGGACAGTCTCCTTTCAAATCAGTCGAGGGGATTGTCTCCGCCCTTGTCATAGAGCTAATCTTTGTGATCACGATTGTAGGTGCCCTCGATCCCTCAAAAAATCGAGCTATGCTGCATAGCTATTCACTTCGGACAAAACGTTAGTTGTTCTAATAAGAAAGTAGTTGGACCCTTGGTTAGCATACAAGAATTGTGCACGGCTTAAAATAAAGTAAGCATGCGAACATCATGTTTAGATATAAGAATAGGACAAGTAGTACCCTAAAATTGGTGAGTTATGCATGGTATTCAATTTGTAATGTTATTGAAATACTT